CCCAACACAGCAGAACAATGACAAAAATTAAAAACTCTCAACAACTTGTGAGGTTGCGCTTCCAACATTGGGGCATTATCATGCCACAGCAACTAACCATCGTTTAATTAATTCGGCATTGATGCGACTCTCTCACACACACACACACACATGAGCACTTATGAATGTCGTGGCTATAACTGGCATGTCATTGACTGTTCGCAAGACCCCATGGTCCACTAATACATACATCACGTCGTCCTCTCCCAAGATCATGATGCTGCTGATGATGATCAATTCAGTGTTCATTGTCGCCGTTATGCCGCCCGCCAGGCAGCCTGGCTGGCTGGTTGGCATTCATGCCCGGCCCGAAATATATGCGATTGTCGATTGGCGGCGACGTTAGTGGCGACAATTCGGTGATAGTTGTGCACTTGCTTACAACGTTTTTGCAGCCAGTCGAAACAATTCAATGCATCCCACAGACCTTTAATTCATTGCTTCGGTTCTCCGCTACCAGCTAAGCCAAGGTATATTCCCTCCCTGGGTGTATGTGTGTGATCTTCTGCATGGATCCATTTATTTGGAGCACACACGAAACAAAATCAAGTCATTACGTTTGTCACCACACGAAGTTGGGCAAAAAACAACGTTTTCCAATTCGTGATAACTGAAATGACAATGATGGCCATCACCGTTCCAAATCACAAAACAAACCAATTGCCCGTCCAGCCTCGTGGGCGAGTTGGAGAAAAAATGAAAATCTCTCAATTAGTCAAACAATTAAATCAGTAATCGAAACGTATGGCGGTGGCCAGTCATTCCATGGCGAGCATTCTCCAATGAAGTGCATTCCTCTCAGGTTTCCTAAATTAATACGAATGACTTTTTTAGAAATGCCACCACCACCGTCACCGCCAGCATCATCATCATCCTACCTCAGTCTATATTGATGCATGATGCCATGCATGCATGAATGTCTTCAGACGACAGACCATGTTTGGCTTTTGACTGTTGGCCGTTGCTGGTGGCAACATGACTCGAGAACCACCCGCAGATTTTTCTGCTTAACATTCGTTTCACAAATTGCCACCGGACCAGGTGATTTTTTTTTTCTACTTTTACGACGGCTTTCATCAGCATTCACTAGTCAGGCCGAAAAAAACGCTTTTTTGTTTTCAACCCGACTGTGTTATAGTTTTGCTATCCATCCATCAAAGTTTCACTTGAAATGAGTTATTTTTATGCCCAAGTTTGGTATGTTTCCTGTTGATCATGATTTACCGATGTGGTAGAGGTTGCTGGCGGTGCAGATGGTGACAATTACTCCATATTCAGGCAGTATAAAGTACAAAAGTTGAAATATGTTTCAGGGGGACGAAGTGAGACGGTACTTCTTGTGAAAGATCTGTGGATATTACCCTAGAAAATGTGTAGGTTACCCTATGGAAGATATTTACAGCCTCTCATAGAAGATTTGTTAAGTATCTCACAGAAAATCTGAGAATCTTTAAATGAAATATATTTTGGTAATCTCATAGAATATGTTATCCGGTTGTCTTCACATTGAAGTTCTAAAGATCAATTATAGGTGATCTTCCAGAATATTAGGGGCATAGTTTTATAACTTATTACCCTGAAGTTATATGTATTTTCGTAGTTTAATGAAGATTTCAAAAAAGATATCTAGCTTAGTATATTACTTGTATCGACTCAGCCTGGAATATATTTTCAAACCATGTGGCGCCCAATACACCAAAAATGAAATTTTTCAAATGACAAAATGATAAAAAATGTTAACATTTAAGGTTTTGGAGTGGGTCTGTAGTGGAATTCTGTAAGTCATTTTTTGAGTTACTATCGGTAGGACTTAGCTACTACTTTATTTTACCGAAAATTTTCCTTAATTACCGAAGTTATAAGCATTTTTGTCGATAGCTCAATAAATGAGTTAGAGAATCGCACTGTTGGTTCTCTCAGGCTGGCAACGTCGATGGTTGATCGTATTTTACTGAAACTTGTTGAAAATCTGTAGATTTTAGAATGGAATAAATTTTTGATTGGAATTTTCTATTCAAATGTTTTCCTTATTCCCACAAAAAGATTGCGATCTTTTTATAGAAAATCTTTGTATCTTCTCATAGCAAATCTCCACATCATCTCATTAGAGATCACATTCCTAAAAAAAAAACTAAACTGTTGATCTTCCCATAGAAAATCTGTAAATCTTCCCGTATAATGTCTGCAGATCCTCCTACAGAATATCTGTAATTTTGACACAAAAAATCTATGGAAGATTTTATAGGGAACAGATAGGTCATCTTATAAAGAATCTGCTAATCTTCCCATTAAGGTATCTGTAGAGCTTCTTAAAGTCGATGTGATGATCCTCTAATGAAATATCTGATAATCTCTACATAGTAGACCTATTGAGTTTCTTATAGTAGATCCGTACATCTACTCCTGAATTTTGCGGAGATTACTTTCCAATCCTCTTTTGTGAAACCTGTAGGTATGCTCATAGAAGTTGTCTAAGTCTCCTTCTGTAAACTCAGTATATCTGCTTTTGTAAGATCACTAAATCTTCTCATAGGAGATCTGTGGTTTTTCTGCAACAGGATTTTTATACCCTCAGCCATGAGGCTCCAGAGGGTATAAACATTTGATATAGCCACAACATGCCTTTGGCCCTAGGTCTCTTTGGACCAAATACGTTTCAGCACACGAGTCGATCGAGGGACGTCCGTCCGTCTGTCTGTATTTCTGGCTGGTGCAAACGATAACTCTCGAATGGAGTATCCGATTTGATCCAAACTTGGTACATCATAATATAGGATGAGATAGAAAACTGCAACAAAGTCAAACGTCATAATTTTAATATATTTTTTTTTTTTTTAATTTCATGTTTGTTTTAATTTTTAATGAAAGCAAAAAATGTCGGAAATAGCATCAAATTTTAGTATAATTTTAGATTTCTTCGAATTAGTCACCTTTGGCACGAATTATGGCCTTCAAACGCCCAATGAAACTGTCACACGCTGCCCGAATGTTGCTCTGCTGTATTTTGGCCCATTTCCGGCGAAGATCTTGCTTGAGATGATCGACACTTTGGTATTTTCTAGTGATAACCTTGCTTTCCAAAATACTCCAAACACAATAGTCCAACGGAGTGGTATATTTTGGTGGCCATTGTGCGCTGGAAATGAAGCGAGAAACCTCATTTCGTAATCATTTTTGGGTGGCGCGTGCTGAGTGCGATGGTGATGAGTACTGTTGGAATGTCCAAGGTCTGCGGCCAAAATGTTTGCGTGCCCTAGGCTTTAATACATCTTCCAGAATATGTTCGCTATAATATTCGGCTTTTATTCTGACGGAAAGCGATCATCGGCTGTTATGGCGGCCCACACCATCACCATGACCAGCGCTTGAGTTCTGGTGGCCAACCGAAGGTGCACATTTTTGGCTGACCTCTTTGGCAAGTAAACACGATAATTTTGTTTGTTTACCAACTGCTGGACAATGAACGTTTTCTCATCGGAGGAAACCAAATTCGACAGTTCACCATTTTCGGCCAAGCGAAGCAACTCTGTGGCTCTTTTGAGTCTATTTTCCTTCCGTCGCAGTGTAAGTTCTTGCAATTTTTGGAATTTCAATGGCTTTACTACGAGCCCATTTTTCAATATTTGGCGAATGGAATATTCCTTGACGTCGGGCTACGCTACCAGTATCACGGTAACGAGCGATGTTACGAGACACAAAAGATTTATTCACATTTATATGCTGGAGTGCTCTAACGATAGCCACTTGTGGTTTTCCAGCCAAACATAAAGAAATCACAATATCACGCTTGAATTCCATCACGAATAACTTTTTTTCTGGAAAATTCTCACCAAAACGCTTGTAAACAATATGATGAGCTGTCACTGGAATAATTTTAACAGCTGTCGGACGAGTGGCTTAGAAATGACTGCAGTCTGAAGTTGTTTGCAGTTTTTTCATCCCAACCGGTAGAGGGTTACCAAACTTAATTTTTGTTTTGCTATTTTCTTTGCCTGATAATGGGGTTGAATGTGCCGCCATAACTCAGTACTTGGAAATGTGGTTAATAAGGTATTTCCCATTATTTCTGATCTTTTGATAGCTCAGAATTTAGTTGTTTTATATTACCTCGTTATGGGTTATTCGATTTAGTTAGTATCCAAAATGTTTATATGTTCTTCCAATTTCTAAAAGTTCTATTATTATTCTGTACACATGAATATTTTTATTGAAAATCTCTAAGTCTCCTGAACATCTTAATAGTTGTGGAAACATTTTTATTTTCGATGGAAAGAACTTATTTTCACCATATCTGCTGTAGGGCATTCATTCGAATAACCAACAACTTTAACAACACTTTGTTCTACATTTTATTTCTGGCGGACCTTGTCATGTGAATAAATTCATGAATGTGTTTCAAGATCTGGATCACTTCGTCCATCAACTTCTGGTCAATGTTGCATTTTATTTGTGCTAAAATAAGAAATTAAATGTTGGCGATGTGAGTGATTATTTAGTTGTTTTAAACAAAATCTCAAGGGATTGCTTTTGATTTCCTGTGAAATTTTTAAATAAAAAATCGATCAATCTGTAGAATAATTGATCGATCGATCGATCGTTCGTTCGTTCCATCCATGTCATCGTCATAGTGGGTAGACAGAGGAAGAGCTCGCTGCCATATATGTTGATATGTCTATTACAGCAAATCAATCGGATCCAATTTTCTCACGGTAATTGCAACAAATGTGGCAGGAGGACATTAATTCTCCACCGTTCGGATAATTATCATTTAATAAGACCACTAATAAACTTGCAATGCCAAGAGACTGATTAGTAGCTGAAGCTTGTCAACATACATATTTGGATTTTATGATAATTGTGTTTTTTGTTGTTGTTGTTGTTGTTTTTAATCTTGCAATTGCTGCCTTTTTTTATGTGGAAGTATAATTAATTTTTCATTTATTTATTTCTGTCTATTTCAGGATCCAACAACGGTGAGTTAAATTACTTTGGACAATAAAGTATAAAGTTAAGACAAAACTATCACGCGAATTATATACAATTGAGTCACGTTCGTAAGTATATAGCGCATAAGGAATATCTTCATACAGCTGAAAAAAAAACGTACGTTCGGCAGGTCTTAGAACAAAATAGTCTTTAAAATTGTAATATATGAAAGTATATCTGAAAACATAAGATACGTGTGTTAGCCTTTTTAAAATTTACATCGGCACGCAACTTAAATAGGGCGCAGACATTGCCTCCACCTTGAAAAGGTTGTCATTCCGTTTTTAACATCTCTAAATATTCGTCGTAGACCCCATAAAGTATATATATTTATAATCAGCACAAAAGTTATTTATAATCAGTCCGTCAGTCTGTCTGTTGAAATCACGATACAGCCCCTATTATTTGGCACAACAATTTGTATTATATCTAGGATGGTTGATAAGGTTGGTATTGAAAATATATCGGCCCACGTTTGGTATAGCCATATAACGGTACCTCCCGATATTCGATATTTTGATGACTTTCGCCACATTTTTCCAAGCATTTGTCTAGAAAATTGGTAATTGTAGGGTTGTAGCTCTGGAAGGGAAATATTGTATGCATATGTCCAAGTTTTTTTTATAGCGCCCACACAAAAGTACCTCCCGATTTTCGAAATTTTGATGATTTGTGCCACATTTTATCACGGATTTGTCAAAAAATTGGTATTTGTGGTTCGTAATGGGTTCCAGCTCCGGTGGCAGAACATTGAATATTTAGGTCCACGTTTTCCTGTAGCGCACACATAACGATGCCCACCGATATTCGGTATTTCAATAATTCTAGTAGCGTTTACGCACGAAAGTGTTTCAAATTTTGTATTTAAGAAAATTTGGTAGATGACAATCGTTGATGTATAAAATTGTCTATAGAGGATACCGCTATAAGGCCCCCATATAATGGCCTCACCCACTTTATGGTTTTTTGAAAAGTTTTACAGTATTATCCAAACGGTCTTACTGGAATTTGCAGTTTAAATTGGAACACATTTTAATTCAGATATTTTATATAAAATGTTTTCTTTACCCAAAGCTGGAGGGCATTAATAGTTCGGCCCGGCCGAACTTAATGTTTTTACTAACATCGCCCAATATATGATATATATTTTTTTAATCTATTATCTTTTTCTAAAATTTTGAGCCTTGGCACAGTAGTCCAACATGGGAGTGTGTGACAAAATGATATCTGATTTTTTTAGAGTAGCATCATAATGAGTAAAGAATAATGTAGTAATAAAATTGTGAAGATAGGTCCACGTTTAGGCACAGTCCTCAAATAACGGTACTCTCCAATTTAAAAAAAAATGAAGATTTTATTTACATTTTTAATTAAAATTGAATAAAATCTGGTGTTCTTAATGAATCCCCGATGTCTTTGCAGAATAATGTAAATGTGGGTCCACAATTGGATATGGCTCCCATAGAACCCTACTCACTATTTAATTTCTTTGAAGAGTTTTGACCCTATGTTTTTAATCGATTTTGTTTGGGATAGGATAATAAATTGTCAACATTGAACATCTTTTTGATCTAGCACCCGTTGAACCCTACCCCCCGATTTTAGGGATGTTTCACGATTTTGGAAAAATTTTTTCAACAGATTTTGATTTAACTTTGCCATTTTTGGTTTTGAATACAATATACAGAGTGAGATAAAAACTGCAACAAAGTCAAACGCCATAATTTTTACATTTTATTTTTTTAATTTTATTGAATGAAAGCAAAAAATGTCGGAAATAGAATAAATTTAGATTTGTTCGAATTGGTCACCTTTGGCACGAATTATGGCCATCAAACGGCCAATGAAACCGTCGCACGCTGCCCAAATGTTGCTCTGCGGTATTTTGACCCATTCCCTGCGAAGCACTTGCTTGAAGTGATCGACACTTTGGTATTTGTTAGTGCCAACCTTGCTTTCCAAAATACTCCAAACACAATAGTCCAACGGGCTGGTATCTGGAGATTTTGGTGGCCATTGAGCGCTGGACATGAAGCAAGGAATCTCATTTTGTAACCATTCTTGGGTGGCACGTGATGAGTGCGATGAGCTGAATCCTATTGGAATAGCCAAGGTCTGCGTTCAAAATGTTTGTGTGCTCAAGACTTTAATACACCCTCCAGAATATTTTCGCTATAATATTCGGCATTTATTCTGATACGACGGTCGATTAATACGAGCGGTTAGCGACCATCAGCTGTTATGGCGGCCCCCACCATCACCATGGCCGGCGCTTGAATTCTGGTGGCCAACCGAAAGTGCACATGTTGAGCTGACCTCTTTGGCAAGTAAACACGATCATTTTGTTTGTTTACAAACTGCTGGACAACGAATGTTTTCTCATCGGAGGAAACCAAATTCGGCTGTTCACCACTTTCGGCCAAGCGAATCAACTCTTTAGCTCTTTTGAGCCTATTTTCTTTCTGTTGCGGTGTAAGTTCTTGCACTTTTTGGAATTTCAATGGCTTTACCCCGAGCTCATTTTTCAATATTTGCCGAAAGGAATATTGTGATATGTTCAGCTCACAAGCCATCAAGTCGCTTTTTTACTTTTCGAACCCTTTCTGCTGATGTTGCTGTTTTCTTCCGTCCACTTTCTTAACGTTGGGCTACGCTACCAGCATTACATTAACGAGCAATGGTACGAGACACAAAAGATTTATTCACATTTAAATGCTGGAGTGCTCTAACGATAGCCGCTTGTGGTTTTCCAGCCAAATATAAAGACGAATAACTTGTTTTCTGGAAAATTCCCACTAAAATGCTTTTGTACGCTTGTAAACAATATAATGTGATGTCACTGGAATAATTTTAACAGCTGTCAGACAGCAGTCTAATGTTGGTTGCAGTTTTTTCATCTCACCCTGTGTACCTTCCTGCAAAAAATTTTTAAAAAATATTCACTCTTTGGTATATCTCCCATATAAAGGTACCTCCACATTTGCCTATTTTAAAGAATTCCACAAATTCAGATATATACAGCTGAAATAATTTTTTTTGTAATCTAAACACTTTTTGTTGTTGCAAAATGGTCAGGCTTTATCCCTTGATTGTTGTTTTTATAAAAACAACGTTTGTTTATTAGTCGAGAACTATGGTAATGTTTACCAGGGGGTAAGGCAGGGAATACCTAGGTTTCGGAAAGAGCCACCAATCCTCATCAGTTCCCTTGTTTTTTTTTTTTTTCTCTGGGATATTCTCCCCAGAAGTTATTTTTAAAATAACTTTTATAACAAAAAAAAACATTTTTTAATCAATCAATCAATAGTTTTGTGGAAAAAAGTTTGAGAGTTCCAAGGAATGTCCTATGTAGTAGAACTTAAGCTCTTTTAAGAGTTGCTTTCTACTGCAGTTAACAGTTAAAATATGAATATGTCTTTGAGTAAAAAAAATATCGATAGGACCATTAAACATAACATGATAGATAGATAAAATGATAGATAAAACACAAACATTTGGTATTATTTAATATTTGAACTGACTATACTGCAATGAGTACTTCAAGTTTCTTCAAAATCATAAGCATTCTCTGCTTTGGGTTTCCAAATGCGGTTTTAAGGGTAAATATCGTTGAAATATTAAAATTCGATATGTAAAGAGTATATTTGCAGCGCTAATGTTAAAGTGATATTGCCCATCTTCAAACTGATCTATATTTGGTAAAAATACTGCGATGGTACAAGTTTGGACTAAATCCGACGATCGATTGATTTCTCGAAAAAGATTTTGTCCAAAAAGACTCAGCGATTAAAACCGTTATAATCATATCAGCTCTGATCCGTACCTAGAAGAAAAGATGGCCACAAATGAATAATAACATCGTACAATCTCGCATTGCCATATGGATATACAGGGTTGCCCATCTGGCAACGCCATAACTTTTGACAGAGATGTCACATCGCTTAATGACATACCGCGTTTGAAGCGTCAGTCCAAGCAGATTTTTACCATAAACCAATACATGCCACGCGAGCGCTCTGAAATAGTTGAAATTTACATTCAACAGAAGAAGTCAATTGTGAAAAAAATATGTGAGAAGTGAGCCTTCTAAGAACACCATTAAGCGTTTATACGAAATATTTTCGACTGGTAAGGCTCTTTCTAATCCGAAGAGGCCATATAAAAGTCGACCAAGGCGATCGGCCGAGAATATCGCTGCCGTACGAGCCAGTGTTGAGAGGTCCCCAAGAACATCCCAAAAACGTCGTTCTCAGCAGTTGGGCATGGCTCGGTCCACTTTACAACGGATTATTCGCATTGATTTGCATTTGTTCCCCTACAAAATTCAATTGACGCAAAGAATGTTGCCTGCGGACAAGCCTCGTCGATTGGAATGGGCCCATGGGTCCGTCGAATATGGGCAACCCTGTATCTTCCGGAACTTAATAAGCTAATCATTATACCCTACAACACTATGTGTTGGGGGTATTATAAGTTTGATTGGGCCAAAAATTATGTAACACCACGAAATATTGATTTCCCACATAGGAAAGTATATACGGATCTTCCTATCTCGCCGAGCTGAGTCGATCTAGCTATGTATGTCCGTCCGTCCGTCTATCCGTCTGTCCATGTTAATTTGTAATCACTCTACAGGTCGCAATTATGGTCCGATCCTCACGAAATTGAAAATGGAGGTGGGGTTAATGTCAGAATAGAACCCTATTTGTTTTGATGATGATCCCATAATATTTAGGGGTTGAAATGGACCAAAAACTGAAAAATTTCCTGATTTTGCAGTTGCTCTACAGGTCACAATTATAGACCAATCGAAGCGAAATTTAGCATGGGGCTAGAGCTTTGGGCTGGGCAGAAGCCTTCCAATTTTGATGGTCATCGGGTAACATTTAGTGGTTGAAATAGACCATAGCATTTGTGTTAAATAAAAGTCAAATTTTCCATTAAACCGCGAATATTTTTAATGCCGGCGAAATCACAAATAGACGAACAGGTCAATTCTGACCATTACGTAGATGCCGATAGTAAATATATTGGTTATATGTAGCGAAATGTATGCAATGTGTATATA